GAGAGGACAACCAGACGCCTCTTGAGATCAAGCCGTTCCAACTCCTTGTCAGCTGTTGGACGCTGACGTTTCGGCTTCTCTGGCTCCGCCGGTTCAATCACCGAACCGGGGTGGCCAACATTTTCGATAGCCGCTCGTTTGCTTTTGCTTGTGGCCTTGGCACCGGCTTTCTTGCCCTTGCTTTTGGCTTTCGCAGCGGGCTTCGGCAGGTTGAGTGGCAAACCTCATCAAAGCCCCGGGCACAGCTGCCGAAGCACGACTAGCTCGCAAAGACCGTCGTCGCAAATGAAAATGCGAACGAGATGCCATGGATTTGCGCCTCCACATCCAACGAAGAATCCAGCAGGCCTCCAACACAGCACGTATGACCGTCATGCCACGTAGAATTTCAACCGGACGGATTCTGTTCACAGTCCTGTGGGACCCTACGACCCAGCATCATGGCATCAGTGGGGTTTGGGGGCTCCGAAATCCTACGGACGGATTCTGTCCACAGCCCTGTGGGACCCTACGACCCAGCATCATGAGCATCAGCGGGGTTTGGGGGCTCCGAAATCCTGCGGACGGATTCTGTCCACAGCCCTGTGGGACCCTACGACGCAGCATCATGAGCATCAGCGGGGTTTGGGGGCTCCGAAATCCTGCGGACGGATTCTGTCCACAGCCCTGTGGGACCCTACGACCCAGCATCATGAGCATCAGCGGGGTTTTGGGGGCTCCGAAATCCTGCGGACGACGCAGCATCATGAGCATCAGCGGGGTTTGGGGGCTCCGAAATCCTGCGGACGAATTCTGTCCACAGCCCTGCGGGACCCTACGACCCAGCATCATCAAAAACCCAACTGGCCTCCAATGGGCCCACCCAAAGCCGTAAACCACAAAAAACCTCTGAACCCTTGACCCCTACTGTCACAAGTTCACTTTAACAATGTGCCTCGTCCAAGGTCCGCGATTCGCTTCCCATCTTCATTGTCGATGGCGTGTGTCTTCTCTTCTCGCAAAGATCGCACCGTCGACACATTGCGCCCAGATGTGCGCTGCTGCTTGCCCAGCGCAGCTACCGTCGTGTTGCCGTATTCGTCACGGCCCTTCGGCACGTTGGGGTTTCGGAGTGCCTGTTGCCACTCTTGTTCCGCCTTGGCACTATTCCAATCATACCACTTTTTGCCTCTCTTTTTGAACCTGCAGAGAAGCACATGGAACACAGAGAGAGGGAGAGGCGAGAGAGGAGGGAGGAGCAGAGACAGGAGAGAGAAGAGAGACAAAGAGTAGAGTAGACTCGTAGAAGTTCGAAATGCATAGTGCATGGCCTTGTCTCGTTCAAGTAGTCGTCGACTTGCCCGCTGCCAGTGTAGTCGCTCAACTCGACCTGAGGAGTGTTTAGGGTTTGAGGGTTTCTTTTTAGGGTTAAGGGTTAAGATTTGGGCTTTTAAAGGTTGAGGAGTGAGGACAACGACCTGAGCCCTGCGTGCTGCAAAGAGACTGCTTGAGCTGCGATCAGCTGCCTTTTCTTCCCTCTTCCTCCATTCTCACGGTTCGCCAAGATGTACGCTTTGCGATTTTCGCTCGACAAAGAGCTCCAATTGCCGACGTTGTCGCGGCAAAACCTGTAGCTGGAATGACACCTCTTGCATTTGAACTTGGAGCCGTACTTGTGGCAAAGATTCAGCCCAAACGTCTCCTCGCAGTCCATACACGGAACTGCGTCAGGAGCTGTACCTGGACCCGCCGCCACGAGCTTCAAGTCAGGCTCCTGAGACTCGTCATCGCTGGCACGCTCACCTTCCACAACGGTCTCTGCCATGATGCCGCTAGGGGCACCGGCTCACGGCGCTCTTGCAAGGCTAGCACGTCACTTGAAACACACTCGAACACAAGAAAACACATGCTCACAGTGGCTCGCAGCGGGCATCTCTGAACAGGATGGCATGTGTGTGCTGAAGTTAGTAAGCACTCAGCATCAAGTTTTGCTCCACCTCCTCGCGCCACGTCGTAATGCAGTGGTCGGCACAAGCCCTAGGTCCTAGGCACCCCGGCACCCCCCCTTTGCACAAGCGTGTGAGAGGGAAACCACGAAGCATTGTGATCGCTGGAGCAGCATGTCCGGCGTGCACACGTGGACGCCAACTGCACAAGCCAGCAAATCAGGGATCTGGGCCGTCATCTTGGACGTCCTCAACCTTGACAACAAAGACCATCGCGGCTGTGCAGTTTGAACTGAATTGAAAAGAGCGGCGGAAAACGGTGAACAACTACATGCTGCAAAGTCACCTTGAACTACGAACAGTCGACGTTTCTTCCCCGTCCCCTCCCAGCCACGGTTGGCCAGGATGAAGTCTTTGCGGACTTCATCTGAAAGAGAGCTCCAACTGCTGACATGGTGGCGGCAGTATTTGTAGCTCCGATAACACAATCTGCACTTGAACTTTGCCCCGTACTTGTAGCCAAACTCTAACTCCATGTCCTCGCCGCAATCCATACAGCGAGCCCGGCGGGCCGTGAGCTGCTGCGGAAGCCTGGAGAGCATGCTGCTCGCCTATTTCCCTACCCAAACGCCAAGCCCGAAACCCCAAACCTCCACACCCCGAAACCCAAACCCCGAACCCCAAACCCCGAACCCCAAAACCCCAAACCCCCAACCCCGGACTGCGAACCCCAAACCCAAAAAAACAAAAACACTAAACCCTACCCTATAAAGTCCTCCGTTCTATTAGTTGCGCCAAACCCCAAATCCCAAACCCTAAACCCCTCAACCCTAACCCTACACCCTCGAAAACCCTCCGTTCTTTTAGCTGTGCAGATAGGAGCCCAAATGGATACGTTAAAGAACATGACCGAAAGGAGCAATGATGCTTTGATGCCACCGCTACCCTCGACCGTCATGGCACCCACAATCACGCAACAGACTCAATCAGAACCGACATTTGATTCTGCAGAGGCTTGTAAGGCAGCCAAGCAACCGCACAGATTGATTTTGCTGCATTTGATCTTCTCCTTCTGCTTAGCAGAAATTCTGTTGAGCTGGTTTGTGTATTGGGAAAATTAATGATTCTTTGGTAAAATGTTAGATTATGTTTCTGTACCAACGAATAGTTCGTCAATAGTTCGTCAATTCGTCAATGGACAAACTGAGTTCGTCAACCATTGACGAACTTTAAGAGTAGCACACATAAAGGCATTGACGAACTGACGAACCGGCCGTTGACGAATTGACGAACTGTTGACGAACTGAACCATAAACTACTGGCTGGAGACCTGACAAACCTGTGGATCGTTGATCTTTTCTACTATGTGAATGCAGACAACCGATTCTGCTCATTTTGAATCGATTCTTATGATATGTATTCCACTCATCCTAAGTCAGGACAAGCGTCTAATAAAGGCTCTTATCAAGTTTAGAAGGATGAAGAAAGCGGGCTTAGGGCATTGTTTGTTTAATGAGACATGTAACTCTCCGCTGTGCCTTGGGCAAGCGTATGACGGTTCGTTGCAGCCAGTAACGGACTTGAACAAACACCCTGGGAGCTGGTAAAGGTTCGGGCACTCAGGGATTGGGGCTTATGGTTCACAGGGTTGGTAACCAAACACCCTAAAGAATAGAACCACTGATTATTTCTCACGATGCAAAGCCCAGAATGACACGCAAAACGCACCCATAGCCCAACCTTCGCCCTAGCGAAAAAATCACTAAGGAAACCAAGCGTCTATAAACCCGATGATATAAGCCCTCGGCCCCGAGGATCGGTTTCGAGCCAAGCCTGTCTCAGCCCGAACGCATACCCCGTAAAGCTCCCAGTCCCCTGGGTCCTTGAGTGCCCATGGCTCCCAGATCAACGCAATCCAAGAGCCAGGTAGGGTCTTCAAGGTTAGGGTATGCTCGGCCGTTGAAACAGGATGCAGACTATAGATGTGAGGCACTGCGAGCTTCCTGGAAATTACTGTAGGGGCCATCAAGACAAAAGTTGCGAGGGCGCAGCGCACCGCAACTTGCAGATGTTGGGCTTGAGCTGTTCACGCCGTCTTTTTTTGGGGGTTGTTTAGCGTTGGTTAGTAGAAGAGAGCGTGTCACGACGACGACGAATGTAACAACAACGACGAGTACCGAGCAAGCGAGCATTAGGGCTCTGGGCAGGGCTTAGGTTCAGAGTTTTGCTTTGGGTTTGAGAGTTTAAGACTCGAGGGCCGACGAGGACGACCATGACGACACCGACGTCAACAAGCAAACTACCAGTAGGGCTTTGGGCCGGACTTAAGGTTTAGGTTTTGGGAGTTTGGGACTGAGCCTTAGAGTTTAGGACCGAAGCAAATGTGAGTGTTGTGAAAGATGCCGAGAGTAACAGTATCACCTCACCAGCCGCAGGAGCACGAGCAAAAGCATCACCACCAAAAGCGCCAGCATCATTATTGACAGCAAGGCAAAGATGCATCGATAACGAGCAACAACAGCAGAAACAATAGCTATAACAGCAGCAACAGCAAGGCACAACACCACCACCACAACCACCACCAACAACAACAACAACCACAGGCACAACAGGGGCGTTCCCAAAACGGAGCCCAACAACAACATCAACAACAGGAGTCACAACCACCACAAGCACAACAAGGGTGTCCCAAAACGGAGCCCAACAACAACATCAACAACAGGAGTCACAACAACCACAAACCCTATTTCGTAATCACCCTACACCCCAAAACCTGTCAGCCCGAACTTGTCCCAAAGGCCCCTGCGCCCTGCACCCCGAACGTCAAGACGGTCCGCTCATTTGCTAGATCCCCCTCAGACTCAAAAGGCTTCGAATACATAATAAAAGTGACGGCGCTACAAAACTCCATCCCGGATAGCGAAACAACTCAAGCTTCACAATATCCCGGCCTTTCCATGTCAAAACTTGGGAGCTAGGACTAGGAAGTAACAGCCCTTGAGTCTCAAGCTCACCTATCTGCAAATTTGGTGATCGAACCGGAAGAAGCGTTTTGAAACACTTTGCTGGCAGCGGTCAGAGAGTTATCCTGACAGCATCCACATAATGCTGCAGAATCAGGTCTTCGACAGTCCTCTTACGGCTGTAAAGTTGGTTGGCCCCCCAGCATCTGAGGCCTGCAAAGTCTGCTCGTGTCAGGGCTTCATGGATCTGCGCACGTGAGTTCAGGGTGCAGTAAGCATCTTCGAGCATCACCTGTCGCAAGTACGGCAGCAAAGTAGCCGTCACTGCTCGGTGTCCATCATTCTTCACACGGGGCTCAATTGGCATTGGGAGCGGCTCCGGCGCCGGCCGATCAAGGTGGCGACGCACAGACAACGAGCTGGGCGGAGCTGCAGCAGGGGCACCCGCACTTGCACTAGCAGCTTCAACCTCGGAGGCCGCAGAGGGCATCGCGCTTGCACTAGCAGCTTCAACCTCGGAGGCCGCAGAGGGCTCGATATCAAGCGCCGGTGCCACAGGCATGTCTGCATCGCTGTCACTGGACACTTCAACCGCAGGCTCATCTGCAAGAGCGGACTCCCGCACTGCTCTCGGATTCCTGCGTCGCACCTTTACTTGGGCTTTAGGCTTGCGGGTGCTAGGATTGCGGGAGCTCTTCACTTTCGCGGCAGCAGAGCGGAACCAATCGAGGTTGTCCTTTTGCTTGCGAGGGTCCGCATCGGTTTCCTCGAGCAGAAACGAGCAAAGCGCACCGTAACCAGCAGAGGTCATGTTCTTGGGGACGTCGACAACCTAGGCTGCGGACAGTCGACAATCGCACACTCGCAGACAGACTCGACACCACAGTCATCATCACAAATATCATGAGAACTCAAACTGCACCACGGAACAGTGGAAGCGTGGTTTTCGAAAGCTGCTCTGACGCAGTCGTAGTACCCCCCAGACAGCACTGCATGCGAAAAGGCACCCTTGTCCTGATAACGGAGGATGTCGTCCGGTCCTAAGAGGGCAAGAACCACATCAATGTGAAACTCATTCTGCACTTGTCCCAACTCGTCAGCAACATGGTAATGGTACCAAGCTGCTATCCAAAAGTAGAGCCAGATACTCTCGGATAGAGTTCTTCCCGTTGAAGACTTTATCCTCCACACAGGCATCGGCGGCAGCGCCCGTTCGCCAGCCTTGGCGGTCGAGCCGCCTGCGCAAGCTCCAGGTGGTGCTGCACACACTGTCAACGCGGACTGGATTCGAAAGGAATGTCGTGGTCTCCATGGCATTGCTTAGAAGCACCAATCCACCCGAAGGTGTGAAAGATGCCAGATTTCGTGAGACCAACCAATCTGCTGCCGGCTTCTCGCGAGAGCTGCAAACAATGGGTTTCCCAGACGTAGCTGCACGCTGGCCCAGCTCTTTTGCCTGCTGCCTTGGATCGAAGGCTTTTCAGGATGGTGGTGTAAGGCAGTAAATTATGAAGTTCGGCTTGTCGGGTTTGTAAGCTTCAAGGTTCAAAACCTGATGTTGAAATGCGAGCGGGGATCAAGAAAACCATATCGGGAACTATCTCCAGCCCCTGCCTTGAAACCCATGAAGTCTCACGCTGGCTCCCTTCAGAAGCTGCGGACTCGCTGGCCAAGCTGGGAGCACGCCTGAAGCCCGAGATGTTCACAGGGTTGCCTGCTTCTCCGGCTAGCTCATCCAAGTCGATGTCCAAAGCATCCATCAAGGCATCTTCGGAGAAACGGCAAGCGTGCTTCACTGTCTGAAACTGACACACGTGTTCAAAGTCGAGCTTGAACAACGACTGAACAGGGAATGCCTCCACAGTGCTCGTAGGGGAAACGAAAGTCTCACCTGGCTGAAACGGACAGATCTGCTGCTGTTGCTGCTCGGAGTGTTCCAAGTCGATTGTAACTCGCCCTGGCTCAACGACACGTTGGCCCAACAGTGCCACGGCAACATGGTCCTGCCACTTGTCTGCTCCGCTGCCCCAGCCCACCACCCGCTCCATGTATTTCTTGGCAGATGGCTTAAAGCTGAGGAGCTGCATGACGTCGTAGGTTGTCGCTCCACTAGCCCCCGTGGACACTGGCACTGCGTAAAACGCACCCTCCCGAAGTACAACCTTGATATGGTTGAAAAGCTCCAACAAATGAGCAGGGGTTTGAACCCTGTTTGATGAACTTAGCTGCTGGATCATTGCATCCTCAGTCGCAACATCCCGGAACATCACAGCGATGTGGTGGCCGCTGACCAATCGGTGCAGCTCAGCCATCGAGCTCCAATCCTCTGGCACAAGCTCATCAAACCGCTGCAGGTAGTCCTCGAATTCGGCCCTGAACGATTTTTGCCGACAATCGGGGTTCTGCCTGCGCCTCAGCGCCGCCGAGGCTGTGGTTGCCCCGCTGGCACGGCTGGAGCCCATCTTGATATTCACCAAGTGATGCCGAGCCTCCAGGCGCTGCATGGACACGAGACTCACACCATATCCAACAAGCTCAGCGAACAAGTTGTTGTCCATGACAGTGCCTTCTCCGCCGCCGCCCCAGTTGCGCATGGATACCAAGAAATCGCCCTCGAAAAGATGCTCGGCAAAGGTGCCCCTCACCTGGAGGTGGCCTGCATCACGCTGGCGGCACCAGTCCGCAGCAAGCTGCCTGCTGTTGCGTTCAGCCGCCACCCTCTCCTGCCCTGGAGGCACCAAGATGTACCGCAACAGCTTCACCACACACCAAGGAAACTTGGTGTAGTAGGCAGAGCCCTGCTCAAAACGCAGCAAGACCTTGCGCTGGGCCACTACGAATGCCTTCGAGATATCATCTGCCACTGCCAGGCTAGCTTCATCAATGGATCGCAATCGTGCCAAAGCCGCAGCGGCGGGCTGAAAGCCTTCTAGTCGCAACGATTTCAACTCATTCTGGAAATGCTGAGCTTGCCCATCAGCCAATTCAATCAGTCTGCGCCCTTTGTGCTTGCAGCCTTCCTTGGGGTGGGGGTCTGATTGCCGATCTTTCCGCTTTCGCCGCCGTTCCGATTCACCCTGGTGTTGTGGACAAGGACAAGCTTTGAGCCACATGTGGACTTTGAACCCCCACTGCTCCAGACAATACACTGCCCAGAACATAGCCCAGAAGATAGATCTTTCAAGCTGATCTGCAGCCAACTTGCGTAGGCCTTCACCCTCTGCTTGGGACAAGTCGTCCCCTCGCGATTGTCCTCGCCAACAGTTCAACTACAACTTTAGCGCCGGGCCAGAGACGCCGTTCGGAAATAGAAGTTGTGGACTACTACACAACAATCATCGCTTAGAAAGGTGGCCATGCATCTATTAGGTGAGTCATTTTACTTCGGAGCCGAACTGTTGTAAAGCCCACGGCGGCCTGACTCGGGCTCCAAATGCTGGATGAGGGCTTCTCTCTTGGAGAACCAGTGCATCACATCGAAACCATAATGCCAACGTGTTTTGCAATAGGTCGGGCAAACAGAAGAAAACATCGATGCCAAACCTGCCTTCGATTCGTGCGGGATGGCAGCGTTGTCCCAAATGTTCTTCTTGATGTAGACTTCCTGATCAATGCTGGCTGGGTGTTACCCCGAACGTATATCATCCGAAATCCCATGCCCCATAACGCAGCAATGCATGGCCAAGGTTCTATGTGATCACGTTTCGAGAAGACTTTCGATAGTGCACTCAGCTGTGCGTCAAAGCTGTCCCAGAGCTCCTTGGCAGCTGTGCTGAAGCCACCCTCGACCTCCTCCATGACGTGGTGCAGGAGGTGGTCGAAGAAGTCTGCCAGTGGAATCGAAAACGGGAAGCACCTGCCCCTCTCTTCAAGGCTACCTGGTGCATCTAGGTCTGGCAATGACCACAGACCGCTTTCAACACCCATGTCTGATAGCAACGACCGGACTGCCAAACGTGCCGTCTGCACATCATCTGCCTCCAAACTCAACATCCTCAGCACCGACCTGGCTTTATATGCAGTGTTAGTGGCTTGCTTGCCCATCACCTGGAGCGGCAAGAGCCTGATATGGACGGCGACATCGATGAACCTCAGCATGGTGCCGTGCAATGCCGTAGCATTTCCGTCTTGGCACGTAAAACAAAACCGGCTCTTGTTCTTACTTTTACTGACTCTTACTGTACCAAGCCATCTTGGAGTGAGCACCCATCGGCAGCCAGGTCCTTTGAACGTGGTGGTTGGGCCGAAGTGCTAAAAACGCCAACACAACTGTTCAGGTCTTCTGCAACAAAAAACTCAAACAAAAAAATTCACCATCATAGTCCTATTATTACCTTTTCTCGAGACTCCGGAACTTGAGCGAATTGACGGCAGTCTTCATATGGCAGTAGTGACAGCATGCGTCGACCTCTGGTACCAACCGCTGTATTTATCTCATGGTTCAGCCGGCCCCTGAACAATACCCGGTTTGGCTTGGCAGGCCCCAAGTAGATAAGTTCAGTGTACACGCTGCCGACACGATTGACGCACCAACATCTCGGTTGCTCCTCTCCAGCAGCCACCAGTGCCATAAAAGGCGCGAGCTAAGGCGACCATGTCACAAGCACTCTCTGCCGCTGTGCCGCATGAGCTCTATCAGCTCGGGCTCACACCGCACACCGGTTGCATACAGCCAAACGGGTCATGGAAAGTTGATGCCATGGACTCCCGCGTCTACATTGCAAAAAACAACTATCTTCCAGTATACCGAACATTCCTTAACTGAACTACACACTCACGTTAGTCTTAGATTATACTACTCATGCATAGACGAAGCTGACTTTCGTACTCGAGCTGCTGATACACATACAGCAGAGTTAGTTGCCGTCATTGCTTGGGGCGAATGTCTTTTCATCTGAGCTTATGGCATATGCTGCAGACAAACATATTTTGCGAAAAGCATCACCGTCACAGGCCCAAACTTCAACCGGTGCACCCCCAGGAGCCCAAAATTCAACCGGTGCACCCCGAGTGACTGTTTTAAGTCCACGAGGAAGATTCATGAAGGGAATGACCCCGCCACCGTGCGGCACATTTCCCCGAAATGCTCAACGGAATTAGTAGTGACCAACACTCTGAACAGAAAGGGCATCCACTGTGGACGCTAGCTCCGCACTTGAAGCCATGGGCCCGCTCATGGGGCAGAAGCTCCCCCCAGGCCGAGAGGATACTACAAAAGAAGGTTGTGCAAAAATTGTTGTAAAGTTTTGAAAGTTAAAGCTGCCAAAGATGTTGTAAAACGATGTCCGCAACATGAAAGTTAAAGCAAAGCGTGTCATTTCGAAGAAAGATGCCTAGCCAGCACAACTGAGCCAAATGTTCGCACGAACATAAAGTAGTAAAACAGATGTGAACAAGTACACAAACCGGGCTGAACCACATTTGCAGTAGACACCACAACATGAAAGATTGCACGAATTGCTCAACTTTGCTGGATGTCAGTGCGAATGTAAACGGATCCGATCGCTTTTTCTTGCTGCTGAGCTTCTGGAAGGATCCTTCGTTAACTGACCATCCCTGCGTGCAGCATTGCTATAAATACGCTCGTATTCCCTGATTGAACATGCTCTTGCAGATCGGGCATGTGTTTGTCCATTCACCTTGCAAGTCCGGCACGCAGAGATGGCAATAGCCACAGGGGACCAGGACATAGTCTGCCGCCTGGGCACGACAAATAATGCAAATATTCCTGCCTGCCGGGTCAGCTGTTTCTGTTGGCTGCGCTTGTTCATGCTGCTCGTCGTGCGTGGTGCAGGCCATGGTTTGGACCACCACGCCCAGAATAGCTTGCTGAGTTTCCTCGTTCTCTACTGCAAGTGCAGCGTTCTTTGCCTGAGCAGCACCAGGCTTCCAAGGGAGAAAGCGAATTGTCAATAACAGATGAGCCTCGCTGGCTTCCTTTTCTTGCCGCAGCTTTGCCATTTCCATTTCCATGTCTCGCTGCTTCGCCTGAACGGTGTAAATACATCCAAAGCTTGCGAAGCAGCCAGTCCAAGCTGCAACAGAACAGAAAAGACATGTCTGTCTGACAGGTCAGTGTTTTCTGCAGCAGCTCACGAATAGGAGCCTTGCTAGCTTGATGAACCTGGAGCAAGGCGTGCACATCCTAACGACATCAGCTGTCAGGTGCCACTCCCAATGCCCCGACCTGCGACAAATCCAGCCGAGACAACGCTCGTGCCTCCAAGGGCTTTCCAGCACTGCACGAAGCTGGTGCTCACTCAAAATTACATTACGCAAGATTGAGTAAAGGCCTGTGCGCACATGAAGAGTGTGTTGAACCCCCACGGCCCGCTCACCATGCAATCAATGCTGGCGGACATGGAGTCAGGGTTGACCACGGAAAAGGAGCTGTCGAATACTTTGGCCCAGCGCATCGGTCGATTGGAAATTTCGGGATCGCAAGCGAATGCCAAAGAGATTGGCTTCTGTCGCAGCCAAGCGCATTCGATTGAGCTAAAAGATAAAGCCAACAGGAAAGCGTGACCGGAAAACCAAGCGCGGGTGCTGCGAAAGGCCAAGCAGAAACGAAACGAGAACCGCTCGGAGATCAGCATCAAAACCACGCGAATCGTCGCAGCCTCGTGCTCGTGGCACCTTCTGAACTTTGGCATTTTCGCAGTTTAGACTGTTTCACAATGATGTTCAAGCTCAAGGGAGGTCGCACAGGCGGTTTCAGACACCGGAATCCTGTACCTGGAAATCCCAGCCACACAGACAGGGAGAGTGGCAACAACCTGAGACCGAGCAAGATTTGTCACCCGTGGAGATCTACTGAGCATGGAGACTGCGGGAACATCCTCTTGTGCCATAGAACTGGTAAAGGGCAGACGCGGACGGATTGCCAATTCTCATGACCCACGGCTGCATGTGGCTGCATGGCCCGTTGAATCACGAGCGCCTCGGCAACTAAAATGCAACACTTGCTCAGCGTGTGATAACATGCGTAGCTGCAGGCCACGCAATCGACCGCGAATGGTTCAACCCGATTACAAAGGCAGCTGCTGGCACTTTGAATACGTGTTTTTGTGGTTGGTGCACAGACGTTGAAAAGCCTGTGACCCTTGCACCCGTTAGTCAAACACTCTTCAATTTCAGGGAAGTAAAATCCTGGACGCAGCACTGCGGGCAAACATATCGTGGCTTTTACATGTTCAACCTTAACAACCAGCAACCATCAGACTGGGCAAGTCGGAAGGCTTTGCACGGAAGAAGAATCAAAACAATCAGAGAAAAGTCAAGACCCACTGGAAGTACCGAAGGCACATTGGAGCGAGTGGCGGATGAAGAAGACACTGGAAACAAATTTCCGGGTGACCACAAAGGGATCCATTCCGGTAGTTTCGACTGACAACCCAAACAAAGCGCCCGACGTTTGCCTCGAGATCGGCACGAGACATCATCTCTGCTTCTTCTGACGCGGTCAGCAAGGATACCTGGCAGCACTGCTTGACTCCATGACACCATGGTTTAACCATCTCCGTGCACATTGAGCTCCTACTCCGAGGAAATCTATGAACGAGGGGGCTGCACCCGGGGCAACATCTCCCCTCCGGGAAGGAAGAATCGAAAAAAAGTCCGCAGCGGGAGCTCCTGCGGTCAGGCAGATGTTGTTACACCTTACAGTAGGCAGCATACGGCCCTGATTTGCACCTCACCGTAACCCTCCGCAACAAACGTCCAGATCTCAGATGCGGCCTTGGAATCGTGGCCGGCAGTCAGGCAAACTGGACGAGTACTAAAGCAAACTTGCCCGCCTGCTTTGAAACGGTTGGATGGACGTTGATCCGGGTGCAATGCCACCTGCTTGTAAGCCTTGGTTGAGTCGAGGCATTTTCCCAGCCATGCACCTGACCCGTGCTTTTGGTCTTTGGCCTTCTGTGCGATTAGAAGGGCCAGCGACGCTACGTAGTCAGCATTGTGAAGCTCCAGGCGGATGGTAGCGCTATAGGCGGCATTAGTTTGGGACTGACAGGCATCATCGATAGGCCGATGTTTCGACCCTTGATCCAGCAAAAACCTTCTTATAACGCACCACTGGTCGTGTCCCACCAAGTTGGAGATTTCATCAGCTGTGTACGGCCCGTCTAGGAAACCCAGGTCGACTTCCTCCTGCGTGACCTTAAACAAGAGTTGAGCCTTGGCTGCATCGCCGGGTGCATCGTCACCAACAATGGCTTCCCGACGCTCCTTGGCTGTATCCCGCAGGTCCTGCTCAGTTAGCGTAGCAGCTTTCACCTTCTTGTCGAAGCAAGGAGGATGAGGTTCAGATCCCATAACATGCACACCCTCGGCCAAGAACTTGACAGCTTCAAGATCATCATAACGCTCTTGTTCAAGCAAGGTCTTAAGTGCCAAAATCTTTTTACCACGCATCACCTTAGCCACGGAAGGGTGCATCTTGCTGTGAAGGTCTGCCTCCTCTTTCTCACCCTTTTTGATAAGCAGCTGTAATTTAAGCAATGCCAGCTTCCTGTGCAACGTCACTTGCTGCGGAGAAGAGCTCACCAGGAAGTCAATTGCCTCCACTGTGACAGCAGCCACCGGATTGTGGGTATCGAATGGGTGCTGCAACGCTTGCGCCTTTTCCACGAAAGCAGAAGGGGTGTGATACACACCAACCTTAACGAAACCCTTATTAGGGGGGAGCCTACTAGAACCCTCATGGGGCACCGGGGCCTCGGCAACAGGATCTGTCGATTCGCAGTCTCCCGCACACTCCCCATGGAATGAGACTTCGCGAAGGACACGCATGTTTTTATCAACCTGAGAAGCCGGCAGCTGCAGGACCTGAGCAAATTCAGGGATCAGGGCGGCGTGCTTGCGAGTCTGACGCGAGACAGCGGCAGATGACACAACGGAGAGGGCTGGCTCCAAACAGGCGGTAGGAAAGGCGGCTCTCACATGAAGCAGCAAGCAGCGGGCCATCCGAGCAGCCAGAAGAGCAGGATAGGCCGCCTCACGGGCGGTGGCAAAATGCCAACGACCCCGTTTGGCCGTGATAGACCCGGGCTCATGCTGGTGCTGTCCATCGCACTGGGCGCTGAGGGATTCATACA